TCTTTGCAATCAACTATGAAGACCTGAATGCTCAATGCATGCGAAAAAAGATGGGTGCAATGCAAATAAAACATCCTAAGTTTGAAGTTGAACTTGGTCCCAGGTAGTGGTTTTTTTGATCTCTTTTGTGGGACTCCGTTTTGCAGGTGTAGGTGCATACAGTTCATAGATACCATATTTCACTAGTGGCCCGCCCCTGGTATGGCGATTCAACCCCCCAAAGGTCACCAACAGAGTCGATTGTTAATGCTGTGGTCCTAGCTGTGGCTAATGCTGTGGTTTTTTGCGACTGTTTAACCAGTGTATTTCCAGGCAGTTGAGTTTTTCCGACTTGTGCCGGTGTTGTTTGCGATGGTTTTTTGTTTTTTTTGCAACAGTTTCCCGGTGTTTTCCGGCAACGGTTCCCGGTGTTTTTTGCAACGGTTCCCCTACTGCTGACCAGCCGGAACGTTGCAAGAAAAACACTGGAGAACCGCCATCCCAAGCCTGCGCAAAACAACACCAAAACAACACTGGTTACACCGCAGCCCTAAGATTCGCCCCTAATGGCCTTATATGACTTTGGTGTATCCTGGAAGTTGGGAAATGCTTCGTAAGCATAGCTTGTACCAAAGAAATCGGGAAGAGGATCGCTTACAAGCCAGATGCTGACGACGAATCCCAGGGGCCATGAAAACATATACCCTGTGGTTATGACTAACATAGCTAAAATTACTAAAATCACAATTTAAAATAGGTAAGCCAGCTATACATGGGCCATTTCCCATGGCTATGTTAAATAACCAGAGGGTAAGTAATTACTTCAAATTTATTACAACATTAAAATATTAACTGATTATTCTACATCACAGAGATATATAGAGATTCTATGAGATTGTTGTTGGTTGTATCCCCCTACACCCCACTTGGTAAGTAGCCGCAGCCTACAGCCCGACAAAAGTGGACGATCAGCTGTAGCTGACGAACAAAACCAGGGTCATCACCTACTTAGCCCATCAAGATCATCCATGATCAGTTCTGAATATTGAATTGGTATCCCAAGTGTTGCATATGATATTGCAATTATTCCCAATGTGTGCGTAGAAAAATCTCTATTCCGTTCAACAATGTTTGCATTATAACTATAATGATATCCCAGTTGCAGATATCTGATATTCCAATTTCACACAATCGATATCCCAATGGTTGTTGATTATGTTCCTTATTATACAGCATCAACTACAATTATATTGTTATATGTTTAATTTTGTTTCACATTATTCCAAACGTACGTATGGAAAAAAACTCCATGATCAAAGGGTACCTCATCATAAATCAAGTATAAGTGGGTCGTTTTGTATATTTGCCTAAATATACAGATATGTGCATTCCCCCCTAGTACAGTTATAGTCCTTAAGGGTTATAAATGATTATAAATGGGATTCTACTGATATATAACCTCAGATATAGGAGTTATAATATGTTATAATCCCATTTCTATCCGTTACGGGCCTCAACTGTAATTGGCTCTTGGCTGTTTTCAACGGGCGCCAGGTGCGTACCCCCACGGGCGATCAGCGAGATCGCTTGCGCTCGGCGGAGATCTGGTTGCATTTGTTGGTGTCACGTCGTGACCTCACTGGAATGTTGACAAAAATGGGGGAAACATTGAATCATCCCCCAATGGCCCTAATCAAAGCAAGTTGGGAAGCAATCTTCCGAGTTACGGATGACTTTTACCTGATGAAGGGTGGTGTGAGACTTTACATCACATAATTATACACTCAGTGAAGTGTGGTGTGAGACTGTGAGACTTTGAAGGAATGGCGGCATGATTCTTGTCATGCTCTGTTGCCATGTGCGTAGATATATGCGGGTTAGCCACGTCGTGCTGCAAAATGCATTGTGTTGGCTGCATGAACGTTGCATGGGGCTTGTGCTGGGGAGGAAGCCGGAGCACGAAACCGTGTGTTTTTCCATGTAAAGTGGCTGCGGTCGGCGATGAAAGGTACCTCGTGCGTGCGGCGGGTGCGGCTGCGGTCGGTTTGCCTTTTTTTTTTGCCGCACTGTAACGGTGGCTTCAAGCTGCTTTAGGTGTGTTTGTGCGTACGTCGGTATAGGGTGTTTTGGAATCTGTGGTTTCAGATCGCAGCGGAATGTCCACATGATTGTTGTCACGTTTTGTTGCGATGTGTGTCGAGACATGCGGCTTTTCCACGAGATGCTGGAAAACGCATTGTCAGGCTGCATCAAGGTTCCTTGCTGCTGGAATGGCCACATGATTGCTGTCACGTTTTGTTGCCATGTATGTCGAGACATGCGGGTTTGCCACGGGATGCTGGAAAACGCATTGTAATGGCTGCATCACGGTTCCTCGCTGCCGCGGCTCTTTGTGTAATATTTTTGTCTTTTGCAGCTTGGGTCCGCAATGTCATTGTGGATGGTGAAAACTTCTTGCCTGATTTGCTGCGGGAAGCGCCATGATCAGCACCCAGACCGCCAACGAGTGTTTGCGGATCACGCTGTCCAGCCTTTCGTGCCAGTGCGGGCCGACAGAGCTGCCAAAACATAGACATAGTGCAATGCTGAAAAAAGCATGCAGCTGTTGACGCTGGACTCTGTGTGTCTGATTGAGAGATTACAATTAACGTAAGATATACTGTAGTTAAGCTTTGCCGCAATGCATGAACATCTCGCGTGAGTTACCACAATACTGTAAATATAATATGGTCTAGGTGTGCAATTTGCACAGGAGCTTGTGTGTGTTAACAAAACTTTTTTGGGATACAGAAGAACAGGGGAGATGAGCTAAGCTTTGTAGTACAAAGATACTTTCTAGAGGCTTTTCCTTTGTAAAGTGTAAATGCATCTGTGTCTCAAGCTTCTGTGTGCTGACAGTGCTCAGATGAGGTGAACACAGTTGAGAAGAGCTTACTTAGATGACATGTGAGAAGAGATGGGATGAGATGAGAAGAGCTGAGAAGAGCTCACATGATTTGAGATGAGACGAAGTGTCGAGTGTGTAAAGTGCAAGTGTGAAGTGCGAATTGCAGGGTGTGAAGAGTGCAGTGTGAAGTGTGAGGAAAGTCTTCGTTTGGCGTTGCATTGCACCGGGGTTGCGCGCAGGTCATGTTCTTGGACAACAACTGCAACAGCTTCGCACAAAGCACGCACGCACGGGCCTGGCTGGCGCACGGCGCGCATGCAAGTTTTATAGATGAGAAAGGTCTTATAGTATATCCCATTATATCCCTAAGGCAACTTCCGCCCCGCCTCGTGCGGGTACTACTGGTGTATATGCTTTAATTTTTTCAGGTTCGTGAAATATGACAATTTACCCAGAGATGGAAAAGCCTTGGTTTCCCTAGGACAATGGTGTACAAATAGTGGGTTTTGCACATCAATGTTAGTTTATGGTAACCAGCAAAAACTTGTTCCCCACCTGCCAGGTGAGGGTTGTTAGATTTTATGTCAGTTGCCTCCTCCTCCTCCTTCTCCTCCTTCTCCTCCTCCTCCTTCTCCTCCTCCTCCTCCGCCTCCTCCTGCCTCGTCCTCCTCTCCTCCTCCTCCTCTCGTTGTCCTCCTCGTCCTCCTCGTCGTCCTCGTCGTCCTCGTGCTCCTTGTCACTGCGACCCGCATCCACAGTGTTCTCTTGCCGGACCTCAACCACGACCATCCACGCCCAGTGTTCCCTGCCGGACCTCACCACGACCATCCACCCCATGTTCCCTGCCGGACCTTTCCCTGCCGGACTCACCACGACCATCCACGCCCAGTGTTCCCTGCCGGACCTCAACCGCGAGTATCCACGCCAAGTGTTCCCTGCCGGACCTCATGTAGGAAGATATGGGACAAAGAATTTTGCAGAAGAAAGGTAGAAAGAATGTCAGAAGATGTCAAGATATGCAGAAAGATATGCCAGAAGATATGCCAGATAGAATGCCAGATAATATGCCAGAAGATATGCCAGATAGAGTGCCAGTAGAATGCCAGATAGAATGCCAGAAAATATGCCAGAAGATATGCCAGATAGATATGTCAGAAGATATGCCAGAAGATATGCCAGAAGATATGCCAGAAGATATGTCAGAATATATGCCAGAAGATATGTCAGATAGAATGCCAGAAGATATGTCAGAATATATGCCAGAAGATATGCCAGATAGAATGCCAGAAGATATGTCAGATAGAATGCCAGAAGATATGCCAGATAGAATGCCAGAAGATTTGCCAGATAGAATGCCAGAAGATATGACAGAAGATATGCCAGATAGAATGCCAAATAGAATGTCAGAAGATATGTCAGATAGAATGCCAGAAGATTTGCCAGTAAGAAAATGTATAAATGTCATGGTGGGGATCACACGAAGTAAAGTATTTTTTTTCCCCACCTGCCAGGTGAGGGTTGTTAGATTTTATGTCAGTTGCTTCCTCCTCGTCCTCCTCGTCCTCGTCCTCCTCCTCCTCCTCCTCCTCGTCGTCCTCCTCCTCGTCGTCCTCCTCGTCCTCCTCGTCCAACTGCGACCCGCGATCCACAGTGTTCTCTGTCGGACCTCAACCACGACCATCCATGCTCAGTGTTCCCTGCCGGACCTCAAGCACGACCATCCACACCCAGTGTGCCCTGCCGGACCTCAACCACGACCATCACCGCCCAGTGTTCCCTGCCGGACCTCAACCGCGAGTATCCACGCCCAGTGTTCCCTGCCGGACCTCAACCACGACCATCCCCGCCCAGTGTTCCCTGCCGGACCTCAACCACGACCATCCACGCCCAGTGTTCCCTGCCGGACCTCAACCGGGAGTATCCACGCCAAGTGTTCCCTGCCGGACCTCATGTAGGAAGATAAAATGTCAGATAGAGTGCCAGAAGATTTGCCAGGTAGAATGCCAGAAAATATGCCAGAAGATATGCCAGATAGATATGCCAGAAGATATTCCAGAAGATATGCCAAATAGAATGCCAGATAGAATGCCAGATAGAATGCCAGAAGATATGTCAGAATATATGCCAGAAGATATGTCAGATAGAATGCCAGATAGAATGCCAGAAGATATGTCAGATAGAATGCCAGATAGAATGCCAGAAGATTTGCCAGATAGAATGCCAGAAGATATGCCAGATAGAATGCCAAATAGAATGTCAGAAGATATGTCAGATAGAATGCCAGAAGATGTGCCAGTAAGAACATGTATAAGTGTCATGGTGGGGATCACACGAAGTAAAGTATTTTTTTTTCGGGGGCAACTATGGGGTTGACTGTCAAGCTGGTCGATTACAATTTCAAGCCGGAACATCATGCAGGTTTTATGGGACATAGCGGGGATAAACGCTGTGATCTAATGGTTCAACACCAATCAGAACGTCATAGAACGTCGCTGGATGCATGGAACTGGGACAATCTGAGGCCTGTGGGGAATACATGTTGAATGAATACCAAATAACGATTTACATTTGATCGCTTTGTGGTCGAACATGGACCCGGTTGATGGTAGGTTTTCATGGTAGGTTCAAGCCAGAGATAGACGACAATGGTAGGTTCATAATACCAACACCTTCCCAATGCTGAAGTGCCCCGAAACTTCCCCCTAAAACCAAATTCAAAACCAAAAAATGCAGAAACATATATTTTTCTATTTCAAAATCGGCTGGACTTCATTTTTGAAATCTATAATTTCAAATATTGCCATATTTGGATTTCGAAGTTTTCCCAATATTGAACTTAAAAACATCAATTTGTAAAATTGTGTTTAATTCAAAATGGACTACATTCATTTTTACAATCGTTAAAATACGGTCAAAAAATGATTTCTAAGATTTCCCCTTATATCAACCTAAAAACTTTCATAAACCAAAACTAAAGTTTTGACTTTAAAGGAAGGACCCTAATAAAAAAAACGCTCCGGTGTTAACTAGTTGTTATTAGTTGGGGGTGAGACCCCCAAATGGGACCTTGATCTTTAAGTTGTTCTCTAAAGGGGATAATTAAAGTCAAATTGGCCAACGTCAAATTACCCATAATTTAAAGTGTACTCTAGTTTTCACATGTTTTTAGCACTTGGGGAATGGATTATACCATAACAATGACCATAGGAACTATATCAAACTAAATCCATGACCTAGTGCTAAACGGGATGATCCTGCCAATTTGTTGCTGGCAATGCCCAAAATGGATCAAAAGGGGATGCACCAGAGTTCGGGATTGAACCACACACCTGAAATATTTCCCCTTGTATCTGGTATCAGCAAAAAATCGTCGTCACTGGTTCCTTAATGGATTAGATCTCTCAAGTTATGGAGTCATAGATCATATCGATATAATATCCCACTATTTTTTGTGGAAGTCGGCCTGCCCTCGGTAATCAAACATGGCAACGGAAAACGATCAGTTGTAGATGCTCTCATCTAAAAACATCCATTGATTTCCCACCGAGCCATGTTTGATAACCGGGAGGCAATTCTACCCATGGCATAAGGGTTCACCCGGCCAAACTGTTTATAATTTTTAACCTCCTGGAGTGTGAAGATGTCCGACCTTCCAAATTCCCAGACACACACTCGTAATGCTGAACTATGGGTCTACGAAAGAGCTACTGGTCGGGGTTTTCAAATATGTATTGGTTGTTCAGCCATGCGAAAGGGATGATGGGTTGAGACATGTTGAGATGACGCAATGTTTGGAATTGGCCTTTAAGAAAGCACCAACCAGGCAACCACGTAAAAAAGCATCTCAAATCAGTTGATGACCGAAAAAAAACGCAACAAATACAAAAACCTTTATATATTCCAGCGCGTGCCAAAATTTACATAGGCCTAATCCTGGGTTCAATTTCACCAACCTGATGGTATTCATCACTTTGTTGGGTTCCCAGTGAGCTTTCCGGAGGGGCATAGCATTTTCTTGATGGTTCCAAATGCATGGCTGTCGCTTAAATCACATTAAATTGCTTTACTTCGAGCGATCCCCACCATGGCATCTCAAGACAAAAATTTGGACATATATTCTGACATGTTACCTAAAATTCTATCTGACAACTATTCTGACATTCTATTTGGCATTCTATCTGACATGTTTTTTTTTTCTGACAGCCTAGTTGGCATTCTAATATCTTACATACATTTTGACATTCTATCTGGCCTACGTATCTTCTGACATTCTATCTGGCATTCTATCTGATATATATTCTGACAGTCTATCTGGCATTCTATTTGGCATATATTCTGACAGTCTATCTGACATATATTGTGACATTCCATCTGACATATATTCTGAAATTCTATTTGGCATATCTGACATATATTTTCACATCCTTTCTGGCATCCTATCTGGCATATATTCTGGCATTCTATTTGGCATTCTATCTGACATATATTCCGACGGTTTATCTGGCATTCTATCTGGCATATATTCTGAAAGTCTATCTAACATATATTGCGACATTCTATCTGGCATATATTTTGAAATTATATCTGACATATCTGACATTTTTTGACGTTCTATCTGGCATTCTATCTGACATATATTCTGAAATTCTGTCTGGCATATCTGACATCTATTTTGACATCCTATCTGGCATTCTATCTGGTATATATTCTGACATTCTATCTGGCATTCTATCCGACATATATTCTGGCAGTCTATCTGGCATATTTTCTGTCAGTCTATCTGACATATGTTGTGACATTCTATCTGGCATAGATTTTGAAAGTCTATCTGGCATATCTGACAAATATTTTGTCATTCTATCTGGCCTTCTATCTGATATATATTCTGAAATTTTATCTAGCATAGCATATCTGACATATATTTTAACATCCTATCTGGCATTCTATCTGGCATATTTTGACAGTCTATCTGACATATATTGTGACATTATATCTGACACATAGTCTGAAATTCTGTCTGGCATATCTGACATCTATTTTGACATCCTATCTGGCATTCTATGTGACATATATTTTGACATTCCATTCGGCATTCTATCCTAGAAATTGCTTATCGGGTCCAGTGGGGACCACTCTGATCTTGAGCTTGCTGTTCGCGTCCGGCGGGGACCACTGCGATCTCGCGCTTGCAGTTGAGGTCCGGCAGGGACCGCTGTGATCTAGCGCTTGCTGTTCGTTTCCGGCAGGGACCACTCTGATCCGGGGCTTGCTGTTCGGGTCCGGCGGGGACCACTGCGATCTCGCGCTTGCAGTTGAGCTATAGGCCCGGCAAGGGCCACTCTGATCCTGGGCTTGTTCGGACCCGGGGGGGACCACTGCGATCTAGCACTTGCAGTTGAGGTGCGGCAGGAGTAGAGCGGACATAAAATCTAACAACTCTCACCTGACAGGTGGGGGAAAATATTAAAGTTCCATGATTCAATCATGATTCCCTTACTTTGTGTTGTTTATAATCCCAATTTCCAATTTCATCATAAATTTCCATTGGCAGCAACTCTCTACTAGTGTTCTTTTCGTGGCACATCGACTCAGGGCCTGGCATTCAAAAGTGAAGACGAGGTCTTCTCTTATCATGACCCATGGTGGCAAAGTCGGGTTAAGCGTATGAAAAACCTGGGATCTGCCAGAGAAACACAATGAAACAAATAGGTTTTGCCTCCAACCGATTCATATTGATCTGGAAAACCCAAAGTTTTCCGTTGAAAACGTTCTGCAAAGGCTGCCAGGTGTCCATATGGTAAGTTACTGGATGGTACCCCAAAGATCAGCACAGCGCTAGCGCCAATGACCGCAATCACTGGGTGAACTGAGTTGCGAACTGGGACACATTGCATATTTCCCGTCGAGCCTTTGATTTTTAAACGCTTTGAAGAGTTTGAATCTCCGCATTTGTTGGTCGTTTTTCCAGTCATCTCCGAAATCTTTTGAGTGCCAAGTGGCAAATGCCAAGGTGGGCCCTATGAGAAGACCAAAAGAGAAAGATGAGGTGAAGGAGGTCGGCATCCCTTAGGGGTTGTTAGGATTCTTGTTGGGGGATGCTACCAGCCAAGAAAATGGGAGTTTACCAGCAAACATCAGCATTTAAGCCAGCTAATGATGGAGGGTTTGTCCCAATACCATGATTGGCGAAATCCATTTAATATGGGGGATCCATGATTGGTTTATGCTGGATTAAGTGGGGTGACAATAGCTCAATGTTGATGTGGAAATATGATGGTCGACCACTTGGATTTTGTTCTGAGTAACCCACATACTGTACCCGTAGGGTGTAAAAATACTATACCAATATTTCCCTTCGGACACAAAACATGGTTTTCCTTTTGCCCCGGTTCACTGGCATGATGATGTCGTTTGTGAGAACAATATAGTTTCCTCCCATTTCCTCCCCTCGAAGCATCCAGTGATAAAGGATGTTTACCCACAAAGAATGGAGGCATTACAACCAGCTATGTTGAGTAGTGGCTAACGCATGCCAGCCCTACATTTGCTGCATATTGTTTGTTGTTGAGACCATCTTAAATTCACATATTTGAGCGATCAAAATCTAACATTCGCCCAACCATCCACTTCAATTCAATATATGTATGTATACACATATATATATATATGTTATAAATCACTCTCTCTCTCTCTCTTTGTTTGTTTGTGCATGTGCTAACACACACATATATATATTGTCTATTTTAGTTAATTAATTAATTAATTTATGTTTATTCATTCATGTATACACATATGTTTATTGTATAATGTGCATACCTACCCCTTCTTTACCGTCTCTTCTCCGGATGAAAACAGGTGGAAGAGGCTTGGTCCCAGCCCGAACCGCCGGAGACTCCGCCGACCCCGAAGAAGAAGGGCCGCAGGAGACGAAGATCACAGTGGGATGGGGGCCAAAAAAAAAACGAATCCTGCAAAAATTAGTGAAATACCAGCTAAATACCTGGTAAATACCTTCTGGTCAACATAAGTGGAATGCTGGAGAATTGGCCAGTTCGATGATTGTCCCTTGGTTGAGTACCGGAGGGTACAAGCCATATGTACTTCAGGATGTTCTGTGGCACCGGGGGTTTCATCAGCAAAAAAAGGCCGGTGGTTTCAACCAATGGCACATGTGGATACAAGTCGGAGAATGGGCCATGGGCCTGGGTCTACTGCAATGAATAAACCATTACATCTGTCAATCTCTTTGTATCTCTATGCATGTTTTTAAATGTATATATATATATATATTTATATTTATTTATTTAATATTTACATTTTTTACACACACATATACATGTACATATGTATATATATATATACATATAAATTAAGATGGCAATGGCAGATCCACCATTTGGTTGATTTTCCTAGCTATAAACTTCAATTTTGGATGACAAATCCACATTTATAGATGGACTTACCATAAACATATCCATTTATCTGGACAAAGTATAACGACCTCACTGGGACCTCACTGGAATGATGGTTAGTAAGGGGAATTGTCCCAAAGAAACCCTATTTCAGATTAGTGAAATATGATAATTTGCCCGGACTTGTAGGAGATGTTCAACGGCCATGTTTGATTATCGGAGGGTATGTGTTGGATAAGCCTTTTGGGCTGGGCGCCATGCCTTTGACACCCGGCAGGAAGCATCGCCGTAACTTGGCGGGGACCCGGAGGTAGGTCACAAGCTCTGTATGGCTATATGTTCAATTTCAACCACCTATCAATGAAGGGTTTCATGGGGAAATCAGCCATGATCACCAAGAAGGGGATAGAGGGGAAGGTGAACTAAGGTGAGTCATACCAAGCGGCTTGAAGGGTGCCATCTCACCCCATTTTGGGTTGCTTCCATATTGGTGCCATTCATCAACAACCAAAATGGTTGGGCAGGTTCTTGCAAGTTTTTGTCCTAGCTGAAAATCGGAAAATCGTGTTGAACCCCACAAACAAGATCCTTGCGGGGAGGTCCACTGCTCAGGAACGGTGGAATCTATTCAAATAGCTATATATAAAGAAACATATAAATATATATATATATATACACATGCCAAATCAAATCCAACGGGTGCGTTATATGCCCGGTAGGGTAATTCCAGACCACCATCTTCAAGTTCCATCATAGTGTACTATGAGGATCGCCCCATTCAACATGCATGCAAACAGAATGGAACCAATCAATATGGTAAGGCCTGGTAAGGAAAATATTGTTTTAACTCAGCTGAGAATGTGGATAATTCCACGAGTCATGGTGACATATGTTCTTCTTATTGGGATGATTCTCTACGCCAAAATAATCGTTACAAGATGTTGTATAAGCAACCATTGCTGCGCTTATAGCTCTATGATTGCAGCACGAGTTATTTGCCAGCTACTTATGAAGAGATAGAGAAAGGCTGGAGAGTGAAGAGCAGATCAATTTTGATGTATATTGACGGAATATAATGGAATACAGAATAGTTTGTTGTCGTTTTGCCCCACCAGATGCCTGGTGCATGATGTCTATCGCCATCCATCTCTGGAGGTATATCCGCGCAACAACGCTCAAGCGCAGGCTGGTGCACAGGGGTGGTTAAAGGTTTGCATATTTCTATCAATATATTTATCTAACCATCTGAAGGGTACACAACAGGAATGCCTGGTTGGTGGTTTGGTACAATTTTTATTTTTCCATATATTGGGAATGTCATCATCCCAACTGACTTTCACTCCATCAATTTTCAGGGGGTAGGGTTGAAACCACCAACCAGATGCCAATACTGAAACGACCACGTAAGCCCAAGAAAAGGGATTGAACATGATTGAACCACATTCACCCAATCGCCGTCTCGCCGCTGGTTTGGTAGAACTTGTCTCCATGCCTTCTCCCCTGATCCCCCTTTCGACGTTCATCTCAGTAGGTTCATTAGGGGAGGTTCCACTGCAAGCCTTTTCTGATAACCACGCTACACCCACTAGTTATACAAATGGACGCAACTTGCATACTCAAATGGTCCCGTCAATGGCAACTGATCGGTAGTTGATGCCACTGTATAAGCCCAAACTACGCTGAAATAATCCCATCCCAAGTAAAAAAGCCTCGAGGTTTCTAGAGGCTTGCTTGTTCATACAGGGTGGTGTCCTCTAAGGTTCTATAAATAAACCAGATTAGTTCAATGTCCTTACCATAAAGCAGTACAAGATTGAGCATCATTCTGTTCTGTTCATATATTGTGCTCACGATAACAAGACCCAAAATACTCGCCCGAGGAGGACGGTCCCCAATTGACGAATGTTAAGGGGTCAAAGCAGCCAGGTATGGATTGGCCATGATTTTCCATACAGCCTCCGTTAGAGCAACAAGTATACTAAGTAAACATGTTTAATACATGATACGTGGTACTAATACATTAATATATATATCTAAATATACACTTACTTATATTTATTAATGTATTTATTTGTTTATTAGTCCATGTTTGTGTGTGTATATCATTGTCCACCGAAAACGTATGGATTTCCACGGTGGAGGCAATTTCTTCAGATCCCTGGTGGGTTCCAAAGAGGAGTTGACGGCTGCTTGTCTCAGCATGGCAGCCATGGGCAGCTGTCAGCAGCAAATGACAGACATAGTAAGTGTATACATATTATTTACCATCGACATCATCATCATCATCATAATCATCATCATCATCATCATGAGTGCCATTGCGAAAAGTGTTGTTCGCAGTGTGGATTTCATGTAGCGCCGCAAGTGGTGCCCATCAGTGCCGAGCGTTCTAAAAAGGTCAACTCAAGATCACATGACTTTCCAGCACGAGCAATCACCCAAATCCTGGTGGTTGCGGGGTATGTTTTGCAACTTCACAATGTCCTCACTTTCAAAGTAACGCTTAGTAAAGGAAATCATTCGAACATGGACTTTTCAAATTCTTTTCTCACATGAATCAAGAACATGTGCACCCACCCTTTCATTGCCCTCCAATGTATTCATAGGGGTGCGTACCAAGTTTAGTGATAATTTCATGATCTCTATTTTTTGGTGGTACCCCCCCCAAAAAAAATAATTAATGAACTTATTCATCCAGGGCTGAGATGAATTTCTCCAGGTAATTGGGACTGTTTTCCCATGAGCCTTCTGCTGCGATGGGACTTTTCAGGTGGTGAAGGAACTGTCGATCAATTCGCAACAATCTTCCATCTCCAAAGCCTCGCGTCGTTGCTTGGATGCATGGGACTGGGGGAATCCCCCAGCGGTTGGATATGCTTGGGAGTGGAGGAAGAGAACCCCCACACATTGGGATGCCTCGGTCTTTATCTTTTTGCTACCGCCGCCCGTAGCGAACTCGGTGTTTTTGCTGTTTTTTTAATACTTTCATGACTTTTATTTGCATCCACACATGGCTTGTTTACATGATCACATTCATTACTTTCGAGCGGGGGGGATGTTAACGTCTTTGTGCACTTGATCACATGTTCGATGCTATGCTCCACCCGTGTTCTTGACATGATCACACATACCTTTAGATGGGGGGGCGGGGGGGTTAACGTCTTTCATGCTACGCTCCACATGTCTTCTTTAGATGATTGCACATACCGCCAACATCATTCATGCTACGCTCCACATGTCTTCTTTACATGGTTGTACATACCGCTAGCTTCTTTCGTGCTACCGCTCAACATGTCTTCAACATGTCTTCTTGCTAGAGTTTGCCAGAGAAGTGAGAAGACAAAATGGTCGTAAGATCACAGTTGGCACACAGACGTTGGACAAATGTAAAGATTTCATTCCAACCAGTGTCCATACAAAGAATGCAAAGAACAAGCTTTTGAATGCTGAGATATGGAGCTATGTCTACCAATGGCAATGGCGATGCAATCATCGCCATGCCTTGTGGCAAATGGTGCCCAAGGTTCCGAAAAGACTTTGCGCATGAGATGTTGCACCTGCGAATGAGAAAGGTAAAAAGGACCGAGTTCGCTACGGGCGACGGTACTCTGTTTTCTTTGGCGGCCAGCCTTTCCAACCCCCAGCTCATGGCAAGGTGTAAGTTCGGGGGATGGCATATGGGAAATTAGGACTTGTTTTCATATCTCTGTAGACACTTTTCTAACTTCGCGAGCTCACTTTGGAAAGAGAAGAAAAGCGCCCAGGACAAACGGCTGTGCGGGAGTACATGGGGGCCACAGGAAATGTGTTTTTTATTATCTTGGCTTGGAAATGCCAAGAGCCTCGTTGATTTGTTTTGAAACTGTCAAGAACATAACTTGAATCTAGTTTAGAAATGGTCCATCCATCATGTACTGTACTCGTACCTACCACCCGGCTGAATTCCGTTAAAAAAACAATTTTAGTCCCAGTTTCGTTCATAAAACATGTTTCAGAGAACTTGCCTGGTCATATGGTGCAGTTTCACGCAGTTTCAAACAGAATTTGCCTTACTTATGTTGTTTTGATTTTATGGAAATCATTTTGAACAGCTGGCATTTGCGATAAATTTCCTTCAATCTCATATTTACTATTGTTTTACTATATCTTAGGGTAATTTACATGCCCTCCAGTACTTCAACATGGGTTGCTAGAAAATCCATTATTTATATCTACTAAGTTCGGTCATTTTCTCAGTTATAAACCTCCAGCTTGGTCGGGGATTTCCCACCCAAACCAGGTGTGTCTATATATTTTATTGGTTTTGTCTTCCAATATATGTATATATTTAGCTTATATCTCTATATGTATTTATACTTATTTATATTTATATTTTTCAATTTTTCACACACATACATACGTACATACATACGTACGTACGTACGTACGTACGTACATACATACACACACACATACATACATACATACATACATACACATACATACACATACATACACATACATACATATACATACATATACATACATATACATACAAACATACATACATACATACATATACATACATACATACATACATACATATACATACATACATACATACATATACATATACATACATATACATACATACATGCATGCATACATACATACATGCATGCATGCATGCATACATACATACATACATATACATACATACATTTACATTTACATTTCCATTTACATTTACATTTACATTTACATTTACATACATACATACATACGTATATAAATATTTACATATACTTAAACATGTTTAATACATTTATGTTATGCATACCTAGTATGGCTTGGTCGCTTGGTTTTATTTACTATAAATTAGTGGTTTCGTTGGTTTCTTAAAGCTAAGGTCCCTAAGTGGTTCCAATTGGATACCCCTTGAGGTGACTTGAGCACAAAGGCATTCAAAAGACCATATATGAATTCTATCTTGTCGTTTGGACATAGAGGGGCCATGTACCTAATTAAGGCAAAAACAGTAGCTAGTTTTCATTCTTTGAGCCGCGGGGCCGCGGGGTTCCCAGGACCAGAGCATTGTATTCCAAAACCAACCAAATAAAAAAACAATCTGATCTGTTAAAACTTGACAAGTTTGTGATTTTTCATACGCGAAATGACACGTTTGACACCTTCCCAAAACTACGCGACACGTTCTAAGAAGCGGCTCCCATTGGAAACCACTCTGCCACTCAACCCTAAGTGGCCTCCATTTGAAGCCACCAGGGCTACAAGTGACACGCAATGACACGCAAAAAGTTCCTAGATTTTCCCTGGTTGCAGCCTCGTGGAGGCTTTTGTTGACCCCAGTCAGTCTCGATGTGATTGGACTCGAATTTTGGCTGGTCGACAATAGGAAGGTCCAAAGTACAGAGATTTTGGCATGACCTTGGCGACCAAAAGTGGTTTCCATTGGCGACCTTTGCATCCGGGGCCTCCATTGCTGTGGTACAGAATGACACAGTGGTGATTGTACAAATAAGTTTCTCTGGAAATGGGTATATTTTAGCATATACCCCCAATTGTACAATGTGGGCCCCCCAGTTTTAAGACTGTTTATAAACCCCAGTAACTATAGTTATAAGTATCATAAACCATAGTTATTGGAGTTATGTTCACCAACTTAGCTATCTAGCAGGGCCCAAATTTTATAGCCATTTTATTCGGAAAATCAGGGAAAATGGTGATAAATCCAATAGATTTGGATTGATTTAATACATGAATCCCAGGCACTGGCAGCCTCTCACCCAGATCTCCTCGATTGTTCCGTCGTACGAGTCGCGGATCGTTGCACCTTTGTGCGCCGAGGGTGTGGCTGCGGGGTCAGTTGGGGATTATCGTAATGAGTATTTTGAAAGCACCAACCGAAAAGATAGAGAATTGTTTCCGGGATGTTATAGATCACATTTGTACATATAAACATAAATGTAAATAATTATATAAATGTACATATAAATATAAACAAATATAAATAATATAATATATATGTATCATAAATACATTACTTTTCTAGGGTTCCCACTTTCCTATCTATGTTGGGGTTGCTATGTGTTGTATATAGGAACTCACTGTGACGTCACTGGATTTTTCAGGTTGAAATGCTAAAAAACTTAGCCAGATAATATTGTGGCTACTGGTTATTGGATTGACACTTGAATATCACTGGATTGGTTTAAGGGAATTTTACAGGAAACCCCATGATCTTCATGGGAAAATCTATGGTTTCCGGTTAAGATTTTGCCTTAAACCAATCCATTGAGAATAGGATTGCTATGAGGTCAATTGGTGTATCAAAACTCCGGACTAATTGTGACCTCACGTCTTGACGTCAATGGTTGAGATTGGAGGAATCCAATGGCAGAGCTGGCAGAACTATTTTGCTCTTTTTGGGTTGGTGAACTAAATTATTGCATCACGTAATATAGATGGGGTTGCTTAAATGCAATGTTATACATGCCACATCATGCCACATCCTGTCCCAGTCAAATGGAGCCGGGTTATTCCAGTATTTCCCTCAGAAAACCTTTTTGTTAATAAGCGTTGACTCTGGTTTCGCACCAATTTGTGTGATCATACGCTAGTATGATGGAATCATTTGGTCATTCCAACTATTAATTGGACAAAGCTAAAGCCAAGTTCCTTGGCGTCCTGGATGCGAGCTTGGAGTTTGCCCCAAGACGGATCAATCAATGCAAGAACTTTCATGAAGGTCAGTTCGTCAGATTTTGGCTCGGAGTTTGCCGACAAAAAATGGCCCCGACTGATGGTGTACATAGAATAGTTCTGGTGGTTTTGGTTATTCCTCCCACTAAACCATTTTTTATGGTGATGTCTTTGTGAGGTTTGCTATACTGAGGTTGCTGTAATTGTCCCGTATGCGACAAGTATCAGTTCAATTAACCGAAGTCACAGGGATTATTTGAGCAACACGCTATATGATTCTGATAAGCCCTGGGTCCTGCTTATATTAATTGATGAGTCATTTCTAAGGGGTGATGTGGTCGTATGTGGTTCCAGCTGTGTTTACTGCTTAGCATTGGTAATTTTAAAGGCACTTATTGTTGCAATTTTGGGCAAAGAGACTGACAAACTGAAGATACTGGGTACAAGAATTCAGCGATGTTTCTCCATGCATTGGTGATTAAATCTCATGGAATGTTGCTTTCTCCATGGTAGTATCCCCATGACTGGCTAAACAACATCCATCGGATGATTTTTTCCCCACTTTCATGTCTTTCGGGAGGGTGAAATCACCAATCTCACTATTGAGGAACCAATTTTCAGGTAACCCACCCACGTTTTTTCCCAAGAAAATTCCTGACCACTGTACCAAGCAGAAGATTTGTCCCCTCAAAGTCTCCCAAGGTCTTCCGGGAACTCAGGCAGACACTTGGCAGCAAGGGCTGTTTCGATTGCAACAATCATACACTCTAGACTCTAGATTAAAACCTAGTCTGTGAATAGTTTTAGCTGTTGACTATATATATATACATAAGTTTTACTAGGCTGAAATCAACCGGTTGCAAACCATTATATATAAAGGATTTGTCACTGACAATTTATGCTCTGGCTGCTGCCTTGAAATGTTCACTTTGTGTGCATGATGATCTCCATCACCCATTTATTGTTGGGACAGTTTGAATCCATGAAAGACACCGATTTCCCCCGATATAGGTGCTCAAAATGAATAGGCCCAGTACTTAAACCAAGAGTTTCCAGGTTCATTTTGTATGGGAAGCGGGCATATCAAATATGTATCCTTGTCCTCCTTATTGGTCCTGGCCATTTTTCTGTGTTCACGCCTATTTGGGTTTGTGAAACATGAGTTTTTTCATGGGCTAAATATGGTTGAATCATTTGTTGGGTGGCTATATAAGTGGTTATACTGTTAAAAAGTCTAAAGGCCACCAAAAAACTGATATAACCGGTGGTTTAAATGGGGTATAATCTGTTATACGGTGAAGTCCCAAAGATTCGCTCCTCGAGGGTTCCTGGATCCATATCCAAGTCGATCACCTCTGAGGAAGTCGAGGGAGCCGAAAGAGCAGCAAGGGAAGCAAGAAGTGGCTGGGTTCGTGGTGAAATGTGGGTGATACCCTCTGGTAAACATACAAAAAACTATGGAAAGATCCACCATTTTTTAATGGGAGAATCCACTATTTCGACTGGGCCATTTTCAATAGCTATGCTTGTTTACCAGAGGGTAACTTGGGATTCAATGGGAGTCAATGGGCAAAAAACGATTGGGATTTAACAATGACTTACCTTGACTTGGGCAGCAAAATGTTGATTCAACATGATTCAGCAACAGCAATGTTCGGTTGAACCAAGGGAAATGGGAGTTTCACCAGCAAAAAATAATAATTTCATCAGTGAAGATGGTGGTTGCAGCACCAAACATTGGTTTAGCCAGCTAAATCGTCGAAGATAGCGGAAAAAATGTGAAAGAAACCAGCAAAAATTGTTCTACACCCCTCAACAGGTTCAACCAACTGGTGAATGGTAGGTAATGTTGTGGGTGATGCTTTTGCAAATTTGATGGGACAAGATTAAAATAGACTATGTAAGCAGATGCCCTTTGGTTCCGGTGGGCAGGGAGATTTAGCACCGATGGAGAGAGAGGGGAGGAGATGCCTTCTGATAATCGAACAGCTGTGGAAAACCACCATCTGTAGTGGATAGATCATCTACAAGCGGGCCATTCATCATGGCTATGTTGGAGTACCAAAATGTAATCATATCAATGTGTTGAGAAAGTATGCCAAGATGAAAACATGTGCAATTTTACATCGAACCTGAAAGAGTGGGCCCTGGATTTTCTTTATATAATAGTTGTGCATGAACATGTTTGGATTCCAGGTTCATTTTCAGAACGGTATCACCATAGGAGTGACCAGAGGGGAGTCAAAAAGACTCAGTGATGGGTTTTGATGATGAAGATGAAGATCGTGATGGCACACAAAATGAATCAAGATCTTTGTACGCTGTGATATCGTGATATGATTATAGTGCGATAATAGAAGTTGTCCATAGTTTTCCAATCTATATCACGGTGATCGAAAAACAAGATGTGTATAGAGTGGAAAAGGTACTGTGCCTTGCAATTGTTGAAACTTTTTGTGTTTCAAGCCCCTTGTGCCTTCAGTTTCAAGCTTAAGTCATTGGCGCCGTATGTTGATCTGATGCTCACAGTAAAATTGACACAGCGCTGTTTTAGACATGCAGAACAGAACATGACATGACATGTATATGCATGTATGATATATGCTATGTATGATACACGAAAGACATAAACCTGTCTACATGTATATTAAAAATTATGTCTGCATCATATACAGATTTCTTTGCATTTGTTTCCATATAATCACAAGTATTAAACAAGAAAGAAAAATCAAACAAACAAAACGCGCGCATCCATTTCCCAAGGGGGTTCTTCCAACGCCTGCTACAGCGCAGACGCCCGAGCGTGGAGGACGACATGGAAAACTGAGGATTCGTTATAGCCACGGAAATTTACCAGTTTTACATGATAATCAGACTATGATTTAATTTCATTTATCACACATGCCATGTTTCAAGGTTATATATGTATTATACAATAATTTATTAAATAATAATAGAGTAGCTCCCTCCACAGTTGTTTAGCAACAATATGTTTATTCGCAGACATTGGATGACCATCTTGTTTGCTGGTCGGCACGACAATCAGCTGGTTCATGCTGGTGTCGAAATTGGTTCCCCATGTTTCTCAATGCCTAGAACCCCAAACAACCAAAAATGGCCATGGTTGTAAATCCCTATACCCTATGGTAATGGTCTGGATGTGAAGAATCCCTAAGAAATTGTTGTTTTGGGAATCCACCATTGATTTCTGGTCGTTTGGGGTTCCAGGTATTAGCCAAACAATGTAGCCGGTAGAGTTTACCTGTTGGTGATTTCTTGGCGTAGTTGCAAGGTACCCTTTCTAGTATCAAAGACAACTGTTGTTTACTACTATATGTTCTGGTCCTTTGAGTTTGGACCGGCAAGTCAGAGTTTGATGGGAAAACCCTCCAGGAAAACATAAACCAATCCTGGGAACAAATGAAGCCGTTCCCACCTCAACAGTTCTGAACGGAAACCCAAACTGTGATGATTATCCTTGCCGATGTCAAGATCAAGATACCGAAGGTTACTGAAGCCTGTTTCTGAATTCGTCTCATAGATGCCCCAAAAAATTTGGACATAGAATCTGAGTCAATTGAAGTCCGTAGGATGATTCGTCAAGTCTTGATCAATAAAAGCCTTGCTTGGTTCCCTCTGGTAATTTAGCTCTGGTATAAATAGGGAGAGGGTGTCGCCCCGAAGAAGTGATGAAGATGATGAAGGGCTACCGATTGCGTGCATACATATATGTATATATATATATATTATGTATATATTTATTTGTTTATGTATTCATTTATTCATGTGTATATATATATATGTCCAGATGTACCAAGTAAGATATTCCACTTCCAATGCTTGGCCTTTTGCTTAAAAACACCAAAGCCAAGCTCGATCTTTGGCATGTCAGGAGCCCGAGAGGCGCCTTGTTGGAATGCAGGAAAGCCTTATGACTGGGACGACTTTTTTTGTTTAAACGCCCAGTGATGGTTGATTAATATTGGTTTTAGTAATATGTGTTTTTTTTAATAATCTGGATTATGATTAATGTGGTTGATTATTGAGATGGTTCATGAATATTGGCTTTACCATGGTTCACCACATTTAGCTGGATAGACCTCAGATTGGGTGGCTTGATATATGTTCGAGCAACAAGAACGGACTTAATTTTGCGATGACGCTATGGTAAACAAGATTAGCATAGGTAGCCATGTTGAAGTGGTTCTTTGGTGGGCGCTGGCGCGCCTACTGTCAACAAAGGTGAACCGTCCAAAGTAGATTGGAACTAGGCCCTTTATTCGTGGCAGTTTTTTGGTTAACAAACACGAAACTGCATAAAACAGCATTGCAGATATCACATTGTTCATGATATATCCCATTAGATCCCCATTGTTCATGTTTATAAACCAATACGTTTTGTGAAATCATCACCCCATGATGATGTCACTTGTAGGTCTGTTTTTTGTGGCTCCTTTTTGAAATGTCCTCTTCAGAAAATCGCGTTGTCCACGGTGCACTGAGATACGACCCGGCAGCCTATCAGCTGGCTGCCATGCGCGAACAGCAGATGTTGTCCAAAGGAGGCCCTGCCAGCAGCTTGGTTTGGCGGTGCCGCGAGGATCCGGAGGTGTTGGCGCTGAAAAACCATGAGGGGATCTGAGGGGAACTGAGGGTATTTGTCTAAAAGATGGCATTGAAAACCTGAACAAACATCATTTAACCATCATGATCAGAAAACAGTATATGATGGAATTATTGAGCATTGAATGGGATTTAACATATTAATCGAACATAGGGAAAAAAGAAATCCCCTGCAAACTCTGCAAATATGCATTTATGTATTTTTTTTCGTGTGGACTTCTCCATTGCCATTTTTGATCACGAGATGGTACATTCCCAACAGCTTCAAGCACCTTCTGAGACTTTATTTGGGGATTGTTTTTTGGGTCCAAACACCTTCCGAGAAGGTATTCGATAGAGATATGATAATATAATGGTGATACTCGGTTTGTCAAAGGAATGTCGTCATGCATAGACACAAATGGGAACCACTTTGTTGAAAGTCAATAGATTAAGTCATGTTAAATC